GTCACTTCATCAACCTCATCTCACTCCCTTAGCAACATTTGTCCATCGAGAACTCCTTCCTTAAACACCATCTTCCCTTGGCTCCCAGGCAGCACCCTCTCCCGGCTTTCCTCCCACCGCACTGATGGGTCTTCTTTTCTCTCCATCAGTGCCTTTTCTTCCTCTTGCTGATCTCTAAATACAAGATTCCTCAGTTCTCTATCCTTTTTTCTCCTCTATATACATTCCTTCCTCTATAATCTTGTCCAGTACCATCTATAAAACCACCTATAAACCAATGACTCTCACATTTATATGTTCAGACCCAACCATTCGCATGTGTTACACTCATGTATCCAAATTCCTATAGGTCATCCAGAACAAACTCCTAATCCCCCTAACAGAGAACAGATTTATGTTCTCTCCCAGTCTTCCCGCCTTGGAAGATGACATCCCTATCCACCCAGCTGCTCAGTTCAAAAACCAAGTCATCTCTTTCCTCAGAACCACATCCGCCATTAACAGATCATGTTGGATATAATTCCAAAATATGATCCAAATCCATTCTCTTACTACCATCTCCAAGTGCTGCCATCCCAAGCCAAGCCACCTCGTTGAACACCTAGATATCTGCAACAGTTGGCTCCCTTCCTCCATTCTTGCTCCTCTGCAATTCTTCCTTCATATGGCAGCCTGAAAGATCTTTCCATCATGTAAAGTAGATCAGTCAAGTCACTTCCTTGCTTGAAATCCTCCAACTGGCTTTCCCATCATGGCTATAAAAATGAAAATAAATCAAACTCTTCCATGGCCTGTAAGGCCCTACATGATTAGACCTTGCCTAGCTGTCTCAGCTCATCTCACCGGACATTCCTCTTCCTGTGTGCCCCACCCACATTGGCTTTATCCCATCTCCAGGGTCTTCGCACTGGCTTCTGCTGGCAACGCTCTTGCCCCAGAACTTCATGTGACTGTCTCCTTGGTATTCACATCCCAACTCAAACATTCTCTCCTCCAAGAGGTCATTTCTGACCTGCCCTCCCCAGATGAAGCACACACCCCACACACAGTCATTCTCTACCACATGACCCCATTTGATCTTCTTCATAGCATTTACTAGTATACATAATATTCTTATTTATGTACAGGTTTATTCTCTGTTTCATCCCACTAGGATGAGCTTCTTGAGAACATAGACTCTGTTATTTCCCCCTCTTTATCCACCAGCACCTAGAACAATGCTCGACTCAATGAAAATGCACCAACTGAGTGGTTGACACCCAAGGGGAGCGGTCTAGTAGGCTGTCGTTTAGAAGTGGATAAAGGACTGGTCAGGAGATACGGAGTTGGGAGTTGTCAGCAAAATACCTGAATATAATATAATATTTTGCTCCAAAATTACCCCTCAGGTAGGAAGGATTTGTCATATATTCAAGTTCTTACAAAGTCTCCTGCAGTATGCGGCATGTTCTCAATTACTGCCTTTTGAACAACAAAACATTCTTTGGGGAAAAATCATTAGCCTGAAATAACCTCAGTCAATGAAGTTTTGGATATTCATGGAGGTCTCTTGGCAGAATCAGAAAAAAAGTAGAAGCAAAGACATTACAAACAGATGATTATTCCTGGGGCGTGTGGATCTTACAATTGCAAGCATTGTCTTTTTAAACAATCCCTTTTAAAAAAATCACTTGAAGAACAATAAAAGAAATAGTTATGTTGTGAAGATAACAAATACACACCTACTAGATGATTGTTTTTAATTCATGTAACCTAATATTATGCAACCAGACTTTTGTGACAAAGAATAAAGTTACCGGCATCATACACAGATTGAAAAAGTGCTGTCACCAATAACTTGGGCAAAAATAAAGTCTGTGTGTTCTGTAAAAGTTAATGATAACAAACAAAATTCTAATGATATTGATGCAGATGTTAAAAAAATGTTAAAAGCTTAAATAAAATTGCTTCATAAAATATAAAGAGAGAAAAAATAATCCATCCACTACACCATTATATGATATGTGATGTTTAAAATGTATAGCAAACTAAGTTAGCAAATTATTATTTCAACCATGCTAAAAATGTATGTATTCAAATTAGCCTCCAAATTAATTTTGGAGGGTTTCCTCATGGGAAATATAGGGGGTTGCTTTTTATTTGGAGTCATCTTATACCTGGGCCTCTATGGTAGGTGGTGACTTAAGCCTTGAGAGTGGCTGATACTGTACAGAAACTGTGAGATGAGAAGATGCCCTAGGATGAAGGCTTAAAGGCCAATTAGAGTGGGGGAAAGCTAGCAAAGGGGACTTTTGGGTAAACCGATATCATAGAAGCCAAGGGAACATGATATCACAGAGGAGGAAGATAAGAGATAAGTGTTCTAGAGAAGTTCTAGAACTTCTAGAAGTTTCTAGAAGAGTGTCTAAAGAAGAAGAAAGTTATCATCAGAGCCAAACATTATCATGGGTCATTAGATTAACAAAGATGGTCATTGGTACCCATGGCAGGAGTTTCATTGTAGAGAATCAGGTTCCGGTGAAATGAGGAGACAGAGAGATAGCAAGTGTGGACAACTGATTGGAAAATGGTGGCTGCAAGAAGAATAGAAAATGAAAGGTGGTTATTTGCAAGGGAATGGAGGTAGTCAAGAAATATTTTTTGACAATGAAAGAGAATTGGGAATATTTAAAAAGTGGTAAATCCAATGGTAGGGAATTCAAGGTCCCCAAGAAAGCCAGAGGGAATAGGATGCAAAATCCAAATAGAGCCTCAGGCTTCAACAGGAAAAGGACCGGTATTATAACCAGAGGGAAGAAGGAAATGGTTGAGACAGGTGCGGATCACTTCGCTCTCTAACAATAGCTTCCTCCACCCCCGCCACCCTCTCTCTTAGCTCCTCCTTCAATATCTGTTCATGTTCATTTAACAGATCGATAGGTGACCTCCTATATAGGCACCTCCAGACCTGACCTGTGACCTTCCCCCAATCTGCCAGCCTCCCTCCATTCGCTTCCTTCTATACCCAGCCTGAACTTGGGCTCCACAGAGTCTCTCTATCACCCCCATCTCACATGGGAGCTTCTAAATTGATGTCTGCCCTGCCTGCTAGACTGCTAGCTCTACGAGGGTAGGAACAGTCTCTGTCATGTTTGCCCATGTATCTTCAGGTCCTGCACCATGCCTGGTATGCAGGAAAAGCATAATAAAAATTTGCTGAGGTAATGACAGGAATGACTCTTGGTCCTACCAATATCCCCATTGTCCCTCTGCGCCTCTGCTTAGTGAACATCTGGGCCCAGATCAATCCAACCACGCTTTCCCACCTCTACACCCTATGCTGGGGTGAAGCAAACCATCAGAGCGAGATTGCTGCAGATTCGTGTTCTCCAGCACAATTGGACAACTCTCATTCTTCCCTACTTTGCAACCTCTGCTGTTTTTCATGGTGGTAGCCTTCTCAACCTTCTCCAATCTCCTAAAACTTCTAGCCACTTCCATCTTGTTTTCATCCCACTTCTCAGAGAAAGTAGCAGCTGTCTGAGAAGAACGCTCTCCCGTCGAATGCCACCAGTCCTACAGACCAACCAGTGTCCACACCGGTCCTCCCTCCTTTCTCCCACACAGTAAAAGGGGTGAGCCTACTCGGATTAATGCTCTCCCTGCCTGTTCTCATGGTCCCCTCTCTCCCCACCCCTTACTCTCTCCTGTCTTTTCAACCTCAACTCTCTCCCTGGCTCTCTCAGCATATAAGCATGCTAACATCTCTCCCATCCAAAAAGCACAGACAAAACCCTTCCTTGACCCCATGTATCCCATGACTCCCTCCTTACATCTCTCTTGGCTTTCACAACTGCACCTCCTGAAACAGAGGGCTGCACTTACTATCTTGACTTCCTCAACTCCCACTCACCCCACCAGCTATGATCCAGCCTCTGCCCCACCGCTCCACTCAAACTGCCCTGCCCTTGCCAAGCGCACCTACGATTCCTTTGTCACTAAAGCCCAGTGGGTGCTTCTAGTCCTTGTGCAATGAGCCATTGAACAGAGTAGGCAGCCTTTTGTCTTGAGCCTCTTCCCTGTGCCATCAATACCTTAGGCGTTCTGTCCACCCAGTACTTCTCTCCCCCTAAACTGGGACGCTAAAGGTGACTGCCGGTCATGCATGCTGGCCCCCTGATTTCAGGGCGGATGTGTGCTCCAGGTGAGGCCACTCAGGGTCCTTCCCCAGATTACTTGAATGGTTTCTAAGTGAAGCACAAAGCAACAAAACTTGGCAAGATATGAGCTCAGAGCTACTGGTGACCATGAGCAAAAGCCCATCAGTACTTGCAGAGAAGGAAGCCAACAGTCAGAGGAGCAGAAGTGAGGCAAACAGGAGAGAGGTCGTAGACACATCTAAACACAACTCCAGCCAGGTACTTCTGGGGCCCCAAGGGACCCCTGCTCTACTCGTATTTCTACAAACCAATCAATTCCCCTCTATGCAGAAACTAATCCAAGACAGATTTCTGTCCTTTGCAATCAAGAGCACTAATACACCCAGGCTTCACAAACACTACTCTTCGAGTTTTCCCGCCGTGCCAACCACTCCCCTTCAATCTCCTTCAGCAACACCCCCTTCACTGGGGAGGTCCTCAGGGCTCCGTCCCAGGCTGTCCACTCTCCTCACTCTCTTCAGTCTTCACTCCCTCCCTGAGTGAGTTTGTCCTCTCCCAGGACCTTCATTACCCTCTGGACACTATTGATTCCCAAATCCATACTTCCATCCCTCTTCTCTCTTTTTTTCTCTCTACTCTTTTAGTGTTTTATTGTGGTAAAATTACCATTTTAACCATTTTTAAGTGTACAATTCAGTAGTGTTAAATACATTAACAATGTGGTGCAACCATCACCACTATTTCCACGACTTTTTCATCACCCCTAAGAAAAACTCTGTACCCATTAAACAATAACCCCCACTCAGCCCCTGGTAACCTGTAATGACTTACTGTCTCTATGAATTTACCTATTCTAGAATTTTCATATAAGCGAAATCATATAATATCTATACTTAGAATAATGTTTTCACGACTCATCTATATTGCAATATAATCAGAACTTGATTCCTTTTTATGACTGAATAATATTCTATTGTATGGATATACCACATTTTGTTTATCCATTATTCCCTCGATGGACATTTGTCTGGGCTATTGTGAACAGTGCTGCTATGAACATTCATGTACAAGAATTTGTTTGAGGCTGTTCTCAAATATTTCAGGTATATAAGTAGGGGTGGACTTGCTGGGTTATATGGTAATTTTACATTTAATTTTTTGAGGAACTACCAAACTCCACAGCGGCTGCACCATTTTGCATTTGCACCTGCAATGCACAAGGGTTCCCACTTTTCTTCTCTCTCCTGAGGTCCAGTCCCATGCATCTGGCTGCCTAAGGACATCCACACACATGTGTCCCACAGGGAACACAGACCACTCAAGCTGGGCATTTGGATGCAGAGACAATTTGGCTTAGGAAAACAACCAGTCCTGAGTCACACCCCACCCCCGAGGCTCTGGGAGGGCTAAGCATCAGGCATTAGGTGAGGCTCAGGGACAGAGTGTGGGATGGGGTGAAACGTCTGTTGTACACTTGCATAATCAGAAAGGGTTTTTATAGGCTGTGTCAGAAGGTCCTGATGGCTTTGTCAAAATGGCTGGATTAGAATATCATTTACAAACACACGTATCATTTAGCAAACTCCAGACACAATCATTTTCTTCTACCTCTCCAACCTATTCCTCTTCCTGTGGTTCTCAGCTCAGCTCATGGCAAACCATCTACTGAGGTGCCTATGTCAAGACATCTCCAATTTATAGGAACAGAGAGTTCAGGAAGTCTCAGTTGTACTCTCTGATGCCCAGTGCTCATCACCTCTTCAGCCCAAGGTTGAGACTCCAAAAGCTCCCACATCACAAGGGGCATGCTGACTTCAGGCACATTGCACATTCCTCACCCCCAGCTGGTTTACCCAGCCACCCCGATACCCCACTCCCTAGCAGCTCAAAGGACAACCTAAGCAAAGAGTGTCCTCCCATCCAGAAGAGAGCAGAGGCTGGGTGAGGACAGAGAGATTCAATCAGACAGACAGCTTACTCAACCCTTGAGTACCAGGGGTTCTGGCCTGGTGACAGGAAGGAGCGAAAACAGGTGAGGCTTGGTCAGTAAAGGCTTCCTTGAGGAGGGCAGGTGGTCAGGAAGGAACTTCTGATGGGTAGGAGGATGGGATGTTAAGCTAGAAGGGAACTGATTAAATAGCTGCTGTGTGCAGGCCTGGGACAGGGGCTTAGTGTGCTTGATGGGTTTCATTTACCCATTCTACAAGCATTTTGTCTAAGAAATGCTAAGCACTGTTTTAAGCACTGGGAATACACCAGAAGACACAATAGACAAAAATTACTGTCCTTGTAGATTCTAGTGATGGGGAAGACAATTAACAAGACAAATAAGCAAAATATAAGATACATTACATTATTATAGTGCTAAGGAGAAAAATAAAGCAGAAAGGGGAGTAGGGAATGTTGAGAGGGGAACTGCAGTTTGAAATAGGGAAGCCAGAGGGGAGGGAGTAAGCCAGGCAGAGATCTCAGGAGAAAGTGCACCAGATAGAAGGGCAAATCCACAGGTGCTGGGGCTGGGGAAGACCCCATGTGCACCCGGGATAGCAAGGAAGCCAGTGAGGCAGGGCAGCGGGAGAGCCTAGAGGCACAGAAAATGAAGCCAGAGCTTTCAGATGAGGCCTGAAAAAGACCAGCTCGCACAGGGTCCTTCAAGCCAACTTGATGCCTGTGAGTAAGCAGGAAGCCAGTAGAGCATTTTGAACAAAAAGGAGCATGGTCCTCTAGGTGGCTGTGTTAGCAATAAATGACAAGGAGAAAGGGATAAAGCAGGGAGACCAGTTACAAGACTATTGCAATAGTGCAGAGAAAAAAATGATTTACGGCTCTACTGTTACCAGGATAACATGAATGGAACTGGTAAGAAGTGGCCAGATTCTGAAAATATTTTGCAAGTAGCACCAAAATGATTCACTGACATTGAATGCAGGGTATGAGAAAAGAGTCAACAATGACTCTAAGATTTGGGGGCTGAACAAATAAGTGAGTAAAAATGCCATTTGCTTAAAGAGTAAGTGAGAAGAGAAGTTTAGAGAGGAATATAAGGAGTAGGTTGACAGAAAAATATAAGACGCCCAATTAAATCTGAATTCCAGATTAACAGCAAATTATTTTTAGCATAAATATGTCCCACGCACCATCTGAAATTCAAATTTAACTGAGCTTCTGGTTTGAAGGTTTTGTTTTTGTTTGTTTTGTTCCTAAATAAAGAAGGACCTTAATTTGGGACAGGAGAAGTTTGTGATACTTACTAGAATTCTGTAGGAAGAAGTAGAGAAGCAGCTGAATACAATGGTCTAAGCTGAAGATAAGTAACTAGGAGTTGTCAGCCTAATTGTGTTGTTTAAATCCTGAGACTTGATGACATTACCAAGAGACTGAGTGAGGACAGAAAAGAGGAGTCCTAGGACTGAGGCCCGGGGCACCCCATTATTTAGAAGTCAGGGAGATCTAGAAAAGACAGCAAAGATGACTGAAAAAGTAAGGCCAAAATGAAAGAAGAAATGACGTTCTAGTGGCCAAACGCTGCTGAAGTTCAGGGAAAGATGAGAGTTGAAACTTGACGGTGGGATTTAGTGATGGGAACTTCGGTGGAGCCTTTGGGTGGAATATGAGGAGCAAAAGCGTGATTAGGCTGAATTCAAAAGAGGAACAAGAGGGGAAAAAAGAAAAAAGGAGATAATGAATCAAGACAACTCTTTAGAGGAGTTTTGCTATAAAGGGTTGGGAAAAAATGTGGCAGATGCTGGAAGTACAGTTAAGGGAGGTTGGTTGGTTGGTTGGTTGGTTGGTTGGTTTGTTTGAGGTGGAGAAATACTAGCATATGTATTGTAATGGGAAAGACCCAGTGAAGTGCAAAAAGGTGATAGTGGAAGATAAAGAGAAGAGGTAGAGTGAAGTCCAGGGTGGGAAAGAAGGGGTAGGATTCGATACACATGTAGGATGGTTAAATCCTGACAGCAGCTCAGAAAAGTCATGTATTATCTCCTTTATTTGAGGACAAAGTTGTGCAGGCAGAAGTTCCAACTAACTCTGTATATCTTAGAAGAAAAGCAACACCCTAGCCTGGGTCCTGGGACATCTCTTCCTCCCTACTCACAGCCCCAGACATGCTGGAGCAGGGCTGGAAAACCCGCATCCTTCTGCCTGACCTGTATTCCAGTGGGTTCTACCTGCCCTGTGTCTCTGTGAGAGGGCCTTCAAACCCATGAGAGGGCCTAGGCCCCTACCACACACAGACAAACATGGGGGAAATCCCAGACAGAGTAGGAAGGCTCTGCCCTTCCCAAAAAGCCCCTGTCTGAGGCCCGGGCAGAGTTTCAGGCACAGGGAGAGGCCTGGGAGCAAGATCAACCTGAGCCAAGGCCTGGGCAGGAAGAGGTACGGAGGCAGGCTTAAGACTTGCCACCCCAGAGAGCAGGTGTAGGCCCTGAGGGAAGTGGGGGTGGCTGGGACAGCCGCCAAGGGCCTGGTGCAACACAGCTTTGTCCTGAGGCAGGGGGTGGCCTAGATGGCCTCCCACACATTCCCCTGCTCAGGGAGGAGAACTTTGGTGTAGAATAGGAGGGCCTTGAGGTCCTTCGAGCCTCTTTCTGGAATGGAGACTCCTCCAGCTCACTCCAGAATAGGCAAAGGCCAGTTGTTGACCTTTGATATCACTGCCTAATGTCAGGAATGAGAGGGCAGCATCTGGCAGGGTCAGAATGATCAGACCTATGCAATAAAATTACCTAGTCACCAGAGCAGAATAACCCAACTGCACACAGAAATACCACCACCTGCCACCACCTCACATACAGTCACACAGGCACACAGTCTCACAAAACCCTACCGGCCACCTCCGCAATCATACACATTCACAACCACACACCAAACATACACACACACTCCCCTCGCTGCCCCTTTAATACACAACTACCCAATCTCACACACAGATAGTTCTCACATATAACATTTACTTTACAAATAGTAACTGGATGTCAGCTACATTTCAGGCCCTGGAGATGAAGAAAGAGCACAACCTGTGAGCTCCCTGCTCTCCTAGGAATCATTTCAGAGAAGGTTCTGAAGAGTGACTGCTGAGGAATTAGGGTGAGATAACTTCAGGTGGAGTGACCAGAGAACACCTCCATAAGAAGGTGAGACCTCAGTTAGAAGGAGGAACCTGCCAAGTGAAGAGCAGTCCAGGTAGAGGGAACAGCAAATGTAAAGGCCAGAGGCTGGGCCGAACAGAAGGAAGGCCAGTGTGACTGGAGACAAGGCAAGACTAGGTCATTTGAAACTTCATAGGCCAGTGTCAGGAGAGTGGGTATTAGTATAAAGGTAATAGTGAGTTACCACAAGGTTTTAAATGGGGAGTGACATGATCTGATTTATATCATTAAAGCGTTACATTAGCTAGAAGAAACCATGGGAGAAAATTTTTTTCAGTTCTCAAAATGGGGAAGGCATTTCTAATTGTGAGCAAACCCAGGGGCTATAAAAGATAAGATTGATACATTTGACTACATAAAAAATGTTTAATTCTCTACAAAGTCAAAATACAAGTGTCAAATCTTGGGGAGTTGAGAATCCTTTCTATTTGTACTGCTGACGGAGGGCTTGTTTCTTTAATATGTAAGGAGCTCCTAAGAAATCAATAATTAAAAAGTCAATCATCCAAACTGAAAAATGGGCAAAAAACAGTTCCCCAAAAAAGAAATACTGGTAGCTCTTGAGAATATGAAAAAAAATGCTCATTCTCACTCAGAAGAGAAATGCAAAAGAAAATATAATGAGATACCACTGGCAAAGATCATTCAGTTTGGTAACACTCTATATTGGCAAAGCTATGGGGAAACATGCCCTCTCATGTCTGCTGGCAGCATAAACTGTTGTGACAATATTTATCAAAATTTTAAATGAGCAAACAACTTTAACCCAAAATTCCACTTCTAGGAATACATCTGATAGACATAATTTTAAAACCATGTTAATGATGCATATTTAATGCAATGATGTCACAGTAGGAAGAAATACAAGGTTGGAAACAGCATTAATTTTCATTAATATGGGACTGATGAAATATATTACAGTGCAAATGCTATTCAATTGGTGTTTAAGAGACAGCTCTACATCTACTGATGGAAAAAAATGAAATACTACTCAGCTGTAAAAAAAAGAAGAATGAGCTAGCTCTGTATTACTGAGAGAGAAAAATGTCCTATATTTTATTAAATAAAAGCACTGTGTTCATAGCATACCTCCATGGGGTAAATGTAAAAATAATATCTATATAGGCAAAGATACACAGTTGATCTCAGAAAGGAAAATCAAGTAACTGGAAACCTGGTAGTCAGGTGAGCAGCCTTGGCTGCAAAGGCTGGTGTTCAGGGAGAAGTCAAGAGTAATGGTAGCAATGTGGGACTCATCTGCAGATAGATGGTATTGGAAGCCCTAGGACTGGATGAGCTCACCCAGGAGAGAGGAGGCTGAGCCCTGGGACATGCTCACACTGGAGACTGGGATGGGAGGCCTCTGAGATACAAGGAAACTGGGAGTGTGATGTCGAGGAAGCCGAAAGAAGAAAATGTCTTGAGAAAGGAGTAGTCCGCCATGTCGAGTGTTTCTGAAGGTCCCGAGAATGGGGACAGAGAGATGACTGTTGGATTTAGCATCATGGAGATCCATGATGACCTTGATGGGGCTGTCTTTAGTGACACGGTAGGGACAGAAACATTGTTCAAACGGGTCAAAGTGTAACTAAGAGGTGAAGAAGTGGGGAGTTGGTTTTGCTTTGAATATGCAACAGGTGTTAGGGAGCAGATAAAAGAGTCATAGACCACCACCATCCCCCCAGGACCCCATCTACTCACACATCTCCCCACACGAACACATGTACAGAACCACTGGGACCACCCCAGCACTGTTGAGTCTCAGCAATGATTTTCAAGGCCATCACTCAGTAAGTAAACGATGGCCTCTGCCCTGTGGCTCTGCTCTATCCAGAAACTCACCATGGCTGAAGCCTCTAGAGCTGGCTCTGCTCTGAATATCATTGTGACCCTGGGCAAGTCGCCAACTCCTCTCAGTTTTCTCATTCATAAAAGCAGGAAGGGTCATATCTTCTTCATCTGGCACTGTGAAGATGAAATAAAGCCTAAAGGACAGTGCCCGGCACAAAGATGTTTTCGAGGCTCAAAGGCCCTGTTAGTTTTCTATCACAATGAATAGTAGGTAGGGTGACCATGTAATTGATCCTCCCAAGTTTGGGGCACTTTTGAGAGTAAAAGGGGATGCCGTTAATTACACAAGAGCCATAAGCGAAAACGGGTAGTCCTGAGAAAATGCAATGTACAGTCACCCTTGTGTCAGCAATATCATTGCTGTTCAGACTGGGAGGGCTCAAGCCCTGTGTGACTAAGATCCTGGGGCTCCCCAGGGAGACCAGAAATAAACACTAGGGTTTCCCCTACAAGCCTGAGGCACCGCGGGCTCTCATTAGGCTCCTAATCTTGGCACACTAGTAAATGAAACAAAGCGTCCTTGTTCCTAGAATCCAGCCAGCCACCGCAGCCCAGCCTCAGCTACCACCACACTACACAAACACACCCCACCTAGACTCAGCAGGGGTCTATGGCATAAGTTCTAGAAGCCAGCTGCAGCCCACCCTCCCACCCACCAAACCCCTCAAGCCTCCATCAGCAGGGGTCTGGGGCATACCACACTCCTCCCACAGGATCTGCCCCTTGTAAGGACCTGCCCCCATCCCGCCCTCACTCCTGGACAAAAGATCCCCCATCTCCTTTCCAAGCACAGAATTTGCTGCTCCCCTTCCCCGTTTGGGCACAGGGTCTGCCCCCAACTCTGGTTCTCCAAAGTGCACATGCTTCATTGGAAGACGCAGGCTGAGATGGCACGGCCGTCGGAAGACCTGTTGTAGGGGGAGGACAGGCCCCCAACGGTGCCCCCACTCAGGGTCGACTCCAAGCGTCAGGGCGGAGACAGTCACCCACAGGGCGCAGGCACAGTATCCGTGGTAATGTGCGTGGGCGAGTCGTGATTGCAGTCCGTCCCAGGGCCACAGCTCTTAACAGTTTATAGTGCTTCACGCCTCTAATCTCATTGGAGCCTTTGCAATAGCCCTGCCCATAGGCACCGATGCCCCTATTCACACGTGAAGAAACTGAGGCTTTACGAGCTAGAAGCCCCTCCGAAGGTTGCCCGGGAAACGTGTGACCCTGTAGGGACGAGAACCCGACCCTCGGCGGCCGGGCCGGCTCCCGGGCTCCTCCCCCAACCCTCCCTCCTCCACGCGGTCCCCGGGGTGTGCCTGCCGCTGCGCGCGCCTCGCCGCGACTACACGGCCGGGGCTCCGGCAGCCCCCCGCCTCGAGGACGCGGGGTCCCGGACCCGCGGAGGCCCCGCCGCTGAAGGTAAGTGCTGGGCGCGGACGGGCCCTCGGGGGGCGCTCAGCGCTCGGCGGTGACCCCCGGCGGTGGGCTAGGGCTTGATCCTGCCTGCCAGACCAAGCTGAGGGTTGGAGGCGGCGGAAAAGCGGGTGATGGAGGGATCTTTCCAGCCCAACCACCCCACTGCCTTCTTGCTCCTCGATTCTGGGCGAGGATGGGGGCTCCATCTGCCGCAAAGTTCCCAGACACCCACCTTCTATGTCCGCAAACTCCCAAGCAGCCTGGAACGGAGGAAAATGGGGGCGGGGGCCGGGGGACGAGTCGCAGAAGGGAGGAAGTGTAGTATTTTAGATCTTGCTGGAAATCCGTGTAAACCATGGGCCGACTTAAGTTATACGGGGATTTTTCGACTGTGCGGAAGTTGGCGCTCCTAATGCCCGCGCTGTTCAAGGATCAATGGTGGTTCTGGGATTGGGGTGGATTACAGAGTGGGGACAAAAGCTGGGCGCTCTTCGGTCCAGGAGCTGGTGTTGGGGGCTGCAGGGGGAACCAGAACCGGCTCCACCAGTCCCCGGCCTGGGCTCGGAAGGAAATTCTTTGCCGGTGAGTCGGGTACTTGGGGTGTGTCTTAACGTGACTGAGCAGATGGGACCGGAGGGTGTAAGTAAGGTGGAAGCCCAGAAGGGGGCTGCACCCGGGTGGGCTGCTGTGGGAGGACGTCAGGTAGAAGCACATGTCAGGCTCCCTGTCCTCCCAGGGCTGGCAGGTAGAGCTCCAACTTTCACCTCATATGTCTTGAACTCCCACCAGGTGAGTAGCAGGCTGGGGAGGAAATGGTCTCATACATCTCACAAACAGCTCGAGAAAGTAGAACTTATTTGCCTTTAGAGATAAGGACATGAGGTCGAGGAGATTAGGGAATTCTTGGAAGTCACCTAGCTAGTAAGTGACAGAGCTGAGGCTTGACTTCAGTATGTGACTCCACGCACAACGCACATTCCACTCCAGGTCTTAGAAGGAGCAGAGAAGGGGAGAAGAAGAGATTGTGCACTGATGGGGTCTTCCCCAATTACCCCATCTTGTCCTCCCAGATATGAGACATCAGGAGGGCTGAGGCACTGAAAAGGAACTGCACCTTCTCCCTCTCTCGAGAAGGGACGTTTTCCCCCAAGCTGCCTTGTCCAGACTGCCCCCTAAGGGCTCCTGCGGCACCTCCCAGCCCCTCCCTCCAAGCTGCCTCTCTGAGAATTCAGCATTCATTTGTTCATTCAACATGTATTGAGTACCTACTATATGCCAAACGCTAGGCACTAATTTAAAGCAGTAGGTAAAACAGAGTTGACATTCTAGTGGGGAGAAAGACAATAAAAAGAACAAATGGTGATTAAATGCTATAACGAAAATAAAGGAGGCAGGAGCAGGGTGACTGGGAGGGAAGGGGCTCCCAGGATCATCTGGGGAGGTCTTGAAGGAGATGTTTGAGCAGAGACCTCAGTGATAAGGATCCAGCCATGAAAGGTTCTAAAGGTTTCCAGGCAGCAGGAAAAATTACAAAGCCCCCAAGGTCACTAGGGCGGCTGGAGCAGAGAGATGCAGGGTGAGAGTATAGGAGAGAAGGGTGAGAATATAAAGTCTGGGGGTTAATTCTAAGCGTAAAGAGAAGCTAGTAGAGAGTTTTAAACAAGGGACTGACATGATCCAATTTAACGGGCTCTAGGGGTACAGGAGCAGACACGAAAAGGCCAGTGCGGAGGCCATGGCAATAATACCAACGTGTTGATGGTGGCTTAGACTAGGGTGGTGGCATTGGAGGGGTGAAAAGCAATCATTCAGGGGGTGGACTGACAGGCATCATGCGTGCTCAGAGTCACAAACCGAGTTCCAGGAGCACTCACGTGTACACACAGGCCCACACACCCACGTGGAGAGGCGCATGCTCTTACACCCACAGCAGCATGCAGACACAAGGCACACTGAGGCAGACCCACCCATCCACACCCTCTGAGTCACTCTGGGACTGGGAAAAAAGATGTGTGATATGGAGGCCTGAACAAAGCATGTCTCCCCACTACAAAGCCCTGGCATCCAGCACAGCTGAGGTGGTTGGGGCTCCCCCAGGCCCTCATGTAGGGAGCAGAGAGTTCTCTAGATATTCTCTAGATCTGTTATTCCCCGGAGCCAAACCATTACCCCCCTCCACACACACGCCCAACACGAATTGGTCTCCTAACTTCACCACCTGCTGGCTATGAGACCTCGAGTAGGTTATTTCCCATCTCTGAGCTTCTGTAGATTAGGATTCAACCCCAGCTTCACGGGATGGTAGTGAGGCATCAACGAGATAAATTGCAAGAACTGATCTGGGCAGGCACCCCTCCCTCCCCTCAGAAGGAGAGGAGGTGATGGACAGCACAGCCCTGGCATCCACAGTCCAGCCTTGAATCCAACCCTAGTTTTCAATGAGTGACTTGACCTCTCTAGATCTCATGAGTGGCCAGCATTTATTGAGCACTTATATGTACTAAGTGCTTTGCAGCCTTCATCTTCATCTGTAAATGAGGAGTGTAATAGTATCCACTTCATGGGATCATTAAAAGGATTAAATGAAATCCTGCACATAAAGTATTTAGGTTTATGCCTGGCTCATAGTAAATGTTCAGTAAATGGGAATTGTTATTATCAGCATACCTTCTGGTATACTAGCTCTGTGACTTTGGGCAAATTACTTAACCTCTCTGCCTATTTCCTACCTGTAGCTTAGAAAGAATAATAGTCCTGATCTCGTAGGGTCTTTGCAATGATCAAATGAGTCCATCCACATAAAGAGCTCAGAACAGTGCCTGGATGATAGTAAATGCTCAAAAAATGTCACCTATTCATTGACGTATGTTTTTTTCTATTATTTGGTCAGGTGTGCACGGTCCTCAGCGCCCCTACCAGGCACCATGGACTGGAAGACACTCCAGGCCCTACTGAGTGGTGTGAACAAGTACTCCACAGCATTTGGGCGCATCTGGCTGTCAGTGGTGTTTGTCTTCCGTGTGTTGGTGTACGTGGTGGCCGCAGAGCGCGTGTGGGGAGACGAGCAGAAGGACTTTGACTGCAACACCAAGCAGCCGGGCTGCACCAATGTGTGCTATGACAACTTCTTCCCCATCTCCAACATCCGCCTCTGGGCCCTGCAGCTCATCTTCGTCACATGCCCCTCGCTGCTGGTTATCCTGCACGTGGCCTACCGTGAGGAGCGGGAGCGGCGGCACCGCCAGAAGCACGGTGACCAGTGCGCCAAGCTATACGACAATGCGGGCAAGAAGCACGGCGGCCTGTGGTGGACCTACCTGTTCAGCCTCATCTTCAAGCTCATCATCGAATTCGTCTTCCTCTATGTGCTGCACACTCTCTGGTATGGCTTCGGCATGCCACGCCTGGTACAGTGTGCCAATGTGGCACCCTGCCCCAATACCGTAGACTGCTACATTGCCCGGCCCACCGAGAAAAAGGTCTTCACCTACTTCATGGTGGGCGCCTCTGCTGTCTGCATCGTGCTCACCATCAGCGAGATCTGCTACCTCATCTTCCACAGGGTCCTAAGAGGCATGCGCAAGAGCAAGCCCACAGGCTGTCACAACCACAGATCCTGTGCCAGCCGGGCCTCCACCTGCCGCTGCCACCACAAGCTGGTGGATGCTGGGGAGCTGGGCCTGGACTCAAGTGGTGACAAGCTACATGCTTCAGCACCCATCCAGACCCCCATCTGACCACGGGCTGGGTAGCGATACCGGGGCTGCCAACAGAAACAGGTTGGGAGGTATTGTGCCGGTGGAGGGGTCCTACAGGTGCTGGGTGTCTCCACTTTGAATTCACTAAGCTATGCAATTTCATTTGGGGCAGATACTTTTTGAGCACTGGGCACTGTGCTAAATACCTGGGTATAGATCACACCACAGGCCCAGTGCCACCCCTTGGGGGAGACAGACACTGAAACAAGCAAATTAACTACTGCCCACAGGGGATGCTCAGGGCACTCATAGCAGAGCTTCTGCCTAACCCTAGAGGCAGCGATCAGGTGAGACTTCCCTGAGGAAGTAGTATTTAAGAGAGGTGAGAAGTACTTCCAAGCAGAGAGAACGGCAGGCACAGAGGCCCAGAGGCCACAAAAAGAGAGATGCTTGCCCTGAGTTGGATGCACCAGACCAAAAAGAATCTTCCTTCCCTCTGGAGAATCACCCAGATTCCTGCAGTGGAGAGGAAGGATTCTGCCAGCACTCGGAGGTCTGGAGGCCTGAGAATGAAGTTGGGAAGAGGAGGAGGAGGCTCTGGCACCAGCCACTCCTCAAGACAACCAGAGATCCTGTGAGTCATTACTGCTCTCAAGGGAAGTCCTCCTACCCCAGACTCCGCTCTCCCAGCCGCAGAAAGCCTTGTTCCCATCTTCCTCCCTACAAACGTGCTCGGTCTGGTGCCAGCCTTTCAGATCTGCTCCGTGGGACCCAGGGTGGATGCCCTGATAGGAACATCCCCAAGGCAGTTTCCTTGGAATCAATAAAGGCTGTGTTTTATACAGGTTGGCTCTGTCGTCTATTCTCCCACATTGCCACCTTAAGGCCAGGGAATGTAGCCCTCATTAGGGGAAAGAGCTCCTTGGCTGGGGTGAAGCTAGGGAGGGGCCTGCGGTGGAGGCTGGAGCTGAAGTTAGGCTGGGGCTGGAGGTGACAGGTGGAAGCTGGAGTGGCCCCTACTGGTATAGGTGTTGTGACTGTAGGTGTGGTCACAAGAGGGCGCTCAACTCCCACTGTGACACCACTTCTAGCCAGTTATAGCGAGACTGCCCTGAGCACACACAATCACTGTCCTCTCATAGACAAACAACACTCTCTCCTCCTTTGTAAACCAATCACTGCCATCTACAACCACATCCCCATCCTGTGTACACAAAATCCCTGTTAGTCATACTCTCACTTGTTCTATATGCTCCCAACGGGCCAGTTGTCTCCTCTAAGAGCAGGTAGTCCCAGGCTCACCGGAGCATTATTCAGCTCTTTCCATTTTCTCTGACCATTTTTTCCACACTGGGCCCCTGGCGGAATGATGGGACTGCATAAGGAGTGGGAGCTCAAAGCCTGGGGGAGACAAGAATACATTCGGCTGCACCAACCACCCCCTGGGATGACTCACAACCCCCCTTCCAGCACTGTGATGACCTGAAATTTAGGGGACACCAATATCCAAGGCCAGACCAGAAGGGGAAGCAAAAAGAGTGCAAAGGGTATGCTGACCTAGAGGAATATTTAGTGACTATCGAAGCCAAGGCCAGAAGCCAGAAATCCAGGAGGCCGTGAGCCAAGAGCCAATGCAGGCAGGGAGAGGCCGGGTCATCCTGTAGACAGGACAGGCTGTAGTTCACCTCTGCTCTCAGGCATGGCCATTAGTGGAGTGGATAAGCCGGGCAAGTTTAAAGGGCCCAGGGCTGAGCCGACACCCTCCCTCAGGTCTAAATCATAGCTTAACCACTTCGTGACCACAGCTTCACCATGCTGCACTTCGGCAAGCTTTCAGAACCTCAGTCTTGTCACCAATACAATGGGAACCGTATCAATCAGAGTCCTGGCAGGAAACAGATGGCACATTCAAACCAAGTAACTTTAAAGAGTTTCCTGGAGAGACAGTTTAAAAAGGTATGGGCATGATTAAGGAAACCCACAAAGGGTAATTGCAGTATCCTAGGGCTAGTACCAGGGTAGCAATGGACAGGAGCTGCAGGAGGCCTCCAACCAGAGACTAAATAAATAGCTAAATAGCCTAGCTTCACTCTATCTCCTGCTCACCTGCCATCGGCAACCACTGACTTGACCCAACTAGAGGCCAGAGGGCAAGGGAACCCGTTGAGGTGGTCAGCCTCCCAGGGCACAGAACAGAGTGGAGAAAGGTGGAGAGTAGATCTGAGGGGCAAAGAGAACAGTTCAGTCCAGCACTCAGGACAGACCTAGGATAGTTGTTGAGAGAAAAGGAGACACTATAGGTAAAACATTAGTACAGTGCTAAAGTATCCAGTAAACACCCAGGTACAGCCATGCTTAGGGAAGTCTCTGCCTGCTGCCCAGGCTTTATGGTACCTCAGCCCCAACTTGGACTGGACGTTTGCAAAGGTCTCAGGGAAAGGTGATCTCCAGCCATGCATTCCAGCATCTTCCAGGGTGTTCCAGCTGCATGACCATGGATGTATTAGAGGTCAGAGCAACTGGAGAACATCATTGGCTATTCCAGCATGCCCTGAGCTTCCAGTCCTGACCCTGCTTCTCCAGGCTGGGGGCCAGCACCATGGGTGAGGAACATTCCAGCCCTGCACATCCCACCTTTGGCCTGAGAGCTATTCCAAGCATTGCAGCTCACTGTTCTCATCCAGTATATGTTGGGCTACTGTTCACCACCCAGAGTCCCCAGGGCACATCACCGTAACCACATTTGCATCCCCTTGGCCTTCTCTGCTCAGGGTACACACCTCTATTTCCTCCTCCCCCACTGCATGAGAATTCACTTGCAAGCTTCCTTCAATTGTGTATATTATAGATTTCTATTTCATATACACAGCCTTCAAGTCCACATATACTGTATGATGTAACAGCCACCTTGTAGCCCTAGGTAAACAGGAGATTATTTTGTATTCATCGCCTTGGTCTAAGCTTCCTGTTATGGACTGAATATTTGTGGTCCCCACCCCGCATCCTCAAATTCCTATTTTGAAATCCCAGCCTCCAATGCATTAGGTCATGAGGGTAAAGCCCTTGTGGATGAGATTAGTGCCCTTATAAGAAGAGACATGAGAAAGATGAGCTTTCTCCCTCCAGCGTGTAAGGACAGGATGAGTAGACAACCCTATGCAAACCAGAAAGAGGGCATTCACCAAGAACCTGACCATGCACCCTGATCTTAGACTTCCCGCCTCCAAAACCATGAGATGTCCATGTCTGTTGTTTAAGCCCCTCGTCTATGGTAGTCTGTCATAGCAGACACCCCCATCGTCTCTGCCCTGGATTACTGCAACAATCTCCCTGCTGCCCACCCCAGCCCCTGGGGAGCAGATGCCAAGGAAGATTTAAGAGTGCAAAGGGTATACTAGGAAGTAATACTCATGAATGGAAAGGGGAGGAAGTAGGACTAAATGACAAGATTCATGGTAGAGAGCTCTGTGTCCAGAGACAAAGATGGTCTATTACAGATGTCCCGCGTTGGGTGCAAGTGGCTGGGCCCTTGAGCACTGCTTGGCTCAGCCATCACCTGGGGCCACCCCAAGCAGAGCTTGGCCACTTGGACAGCTAAAGCCAACCTGAGAGTACTAACCGCTGGAGGCTGTCAGCTGACCAGACTCCGCACAGCTGGGCAGAAAGTCCTATATTGAAGGAGGGCAACTGCTGTCTACCACCCACCCCCACAGTCTATTCCCAGAATAGCAGCCAGGGTGATTCTGTCAAAACCTAAGTCAGGCCATGTCACTCTTCTGCCCAAAACCTACAAAGGCCTCTCAAACAGACCTTTAGGGGCCTACAAGCTCTACTTCACCCCGCATCTCGACTGTTCCCTTTCTGAACTCATCTCTTCTCTTTGCTCACCTCACTCCAGCCACCCTGACCTCCTCACTGTCCCCCAAGCAGGAAACACCTCAGGGACTTTGCACTGTGGGTTCCCTTAGTCTGGAATGCTCTTTTCTGCAGAGGGCCACAAGGCTCCCTCCCTTCAGAGCCTGTGTTAACCATCAGCTGCTTAGTAAAAATGTCTCCCTCTTATTCAAAATTGAAACTGCCACCCCCTTTACCCTCAATCCTCCCTTCCTACTTTACTTTCCACATAGCATTTATTACCACCTAATAAGTTCTACCTTTTATTTTGTCCATCTGTCCTCAGCTAGGATGTAAAATCCACAAAGACAAGGATTTTTGTTCCCTGGTTCCTCTCCAGTGTCTAGGACAGCGCCACAGCACCAGGAGCACTAAATATTTGTTGAATTAATAAATTCGTGCATGGTCCTGGTGCCCTACTAGGTGCTGGAGATGTAAATAAGACCCAACTGTCTGCCCTCAAGGGGCTCACAGTCTAATGGGGGAGAAAGTAAAGACAAGTAAACAATGCACCAAGGCTGAGGGAGGGGAAGTGGGGAGTTGTTTAATCGGCACAGAGTTTCGATTTTGCAAGATGGAAAACTTCTAGAGATCTGCTGCACAACAACGCGAATGTATTTAATATTATTAAATTGTATACTTAAAAATGGTTAAGATGGTAAATATTATGTGTTTTTTTTACCATTAAAAATAAATTTTTTAAAAATGCACCCAGAGGCAATACCTGAGCCACTGAGAACACAAAGGCACCCGTAACCCAGTGGAGGCCAACCAAGGGACTTCTGGGAGAAGGTGGCATGGCATGGAGCCAGGTCCTGAACGACTTGTAGGGTTCAGCGTGCGAGAGTGCTCCAGGCAGAGGGAACAGCATGGACACAGCAAGAATGCAGAGAACTGCGGTCTGGGTCTGGCTGGATCGTGGGGTGGAAGGGGAGAGGGGTGAGGCTGGAGAAGCAGCCAAGGCCAGGAGGCAATGGGGAGCCACTGAAGGGTTTAAATGGGACTGTGTCATGGTCAGAGAAGGGTGGAGGCTGGGTTGGAGGGGGTGGAGCTGGAGGCCGGGAGACCATTTGGGAGGCCACTGAGGTGGTAGCCTGAACAGGGTCATGGGCAGTGGGAATGAAGGCAGAGGTTAGGTTTTAGGGATGTTTTCCAGGTGGAATGGCCAGGTTGTGGGGATTACTGTGATGGCTGATCCTATCTCCTCCTCTTCTTGGGAAGGGCCAGGTCATTCGAACCCTGGCCTCCAGAGCGCCTGAGGAAGCAGTAAGAGCAGAGTCAGGGCAGCTGTGACGTCTCCACCAGCTCCTCCCTCCTGCCCAGCAGATGGGATCAGAAAGGCTTTGGGAGAGTCCAGGCCCAGCCACAGGAGAGGAGCTCTGGGAGCAGAGGCTGCAGCGGGGGTGTGGCAAGAATCTGCCTCTAGGGACCTCCGTTCTCACGACCTCAGGGGTCAGAACCAAGCGGGTGAAGTTGTCAGTTTTGGGAATCCAGAAGTCTCCACTCAAACTGATCCCGAAGTTCTGAGATCTGAGCCAAACCCGCCCCCCATACTGCCCCAAAGTCCTGTTAGTCCTGCTGAGGGCAGGACCCTCGGGGACCCTGGGGAACTGATAGTCCAAGGACTAAATCCTGTTGTGGAAAAACACGGACCTTTTGGCCACCAGCCCCAGGCCTCGGCCCCCACCTGCCCCGTCTCCCCACCACCACTCAGCCCTGAGCTTCCTCCCCTTCAGCCCTTTCTGTTCTGTTGACGTAAGAAGTTTCCAAACCTGTAGAGAATTTTTGTAAGAGTTTATTTGAGTCAAGCAAGATCTGGGAACAAGATCTCGACAGACTGAGAAAAATGCTTCCAAGAAATGACAGGTTGCAGCTTTTTATGCGTTTGGAATTAAGGAGGAAAGGTAAGGAAGATTGCTTGTAGGTGGGAAAAATCAAGGCAGAGATGGGATCACAGGATAGTTAGCGAGACTTTGTGGTCTCTCGAGGGTGGTCACTCATAGAAGCAGGAAAGAGGCATTTCAGAACAGCATTGACCTAGATGCACAGAAAAAATGGTCAAGGCTAGCTTAAGGAGAAGATAATCCTTCTACTAAAGAAGTTATATGGCTAAGGTGTGACTACCCACCCATACCTGCCTATTTAGGAATTTATGATCAAATCACCCTGGGAGGTTACTTTCCATAGAACCCCTTTCTTTGTCCATAGCTCCCACCAAAACCAACCTACGGACCCATTTTGTCACATGTTTTTAGCCACCACTCACTTGAAAACTTTCTGTGTACTAGTATTATGCTATGTGCTTTGACTGGATCTCCTATGACACTGCACACACAGTATTACTATCCCCATTCTGCAGAGGAAGGAACTAAGGCACAGGGACTTATACAACTTGCCTAAAGGCACACGGGTCAACAGCAAAGTCTCAACTTCAGGTTTACTTCCTCCACCCACCAAGGCCAGTGAAGACTCCACACCCTGGGGCAGCAGCCAAGGTCTCCGTTCCTTGGATCTTTGCTCTTTCTCTTTCTTTTGCCTGGAATGCTCTTCTTCCCAAACTGGCTAATGCAGTCTCCTCCAGAATAAGTTCCTAATCAGGCCCCTGTGAGTCACCCTGTCCTTCTTAGGAGAACTTTCCACATTTACCATTTCACTGCTATCCAAGGGCTGATATGCTCCATTCCTGTCTCCTGCACCAGCCAGTGAGGGCCAGTGGCCAGAGACTGCATCTGGCTGATTTATGGTTGCATCCCTAGCTCCATGCACTTGCCTGCAACCCAGCAGACTCTCATTGCTGTTCATCAACAGGGTGAAACCTGAATAAGCTCTGTCCACTCTACCCCCATCTAGAGGCATAAGAATGAGATCCAACCTAAAGGTGGAGAGAGTCGCCCCTCCCTAGTGTCAAGTGGCCCATGGGAGTTACTTAGTGACCTCCGATTGTGTAGCTGCCCAGGAGTAGGGGTGTTTGAGAATTCTGCAAGGATGCAGGCTAGGCTAAGACCCCTCCCCACCACAGACCTCGGCCCCCACCTGCCCCGTCTAGGGAGGCGACTCGTGTTCTGGTGAGCCTCGATTGCACAGTCCTGGCCCAGTGCAGGACATGCTGTGGCCACCTGACAAACGAGTGGTCTCCCCTATTTCTTCTCAGCAAGGGCAATACGCCCCCAGGGTCAAGGAGAGGCCCTTCCCTGGAGCCCCTGTTCTGTAAAATTCCCCAGGCTCAGAGACCAAAGAGAGAGGCTTACAACTCCAGCATTAATTATATCAAGAGTTTATTAAAAGAACTTATATAGGAGGCAGGTCTTGAGCAGCAAGATGTCAGCAATATCCTCTGCTGATTAGAACCCAGGTCTGGTTCCAGAGCAGGGCTCTGCACATCGTGGAAAGCGCTAAAGGATTACACAAGATGAACCAGCTCCTGTGGGGCATAGGGGAGGGGTCCATCAGAGTCTCTGAGAGGATTTAAAAGAACCAATCTCTGTTGTGGCCCGCATCTAACTGTATCAAGCTACAGGATCTGGCACCAGTCACGTCATGGAGCAGTCTCTCCGCCACACTCCCCCCCACCCCCATTCTCATCCCCGTCTGCCCATCCTCACAGGCCCTCAGGCCAGTTGCCCGGATCACCAAATTCTTGCTCTAATCCTTTCAAATCCACCGCCCTGAAAAACTTCATCTTGGAGAACTGTTCTATCTCCAGAGAAACGGGGCTAGGAGAGTTTACCACCTGGATGGAATATCAGAGGAGGAGGAGCGAACCCCCTTCACCCCCTAACCCCGAAAGCCACCTCCCAGGCCCCATCCTTGAGAGTCGCTTGAAGGGAGTCGCCAGCTCTGAAAAGCTCCCCGCTGCCCTCCCGCGGGTTTCCTGCCCCCGCCCCGCCCCGTCGTGCTATTTAAAGCTTCCCACCAGGCGCGGTCGAGCAGGGCTCCCGCGAGCACCACTCGGGCCAACGCAGTCGTGCGTCCCCACCGCCACCTGGGCCGCCTGGCAGGCAGGCGGTGAGTTGTGCTTGGGAGTGGCAGGTGGGGGGAGGGGAAGGCGCCACCTGTCAGGGGCTGAGGGTTGCTGCGGGAAGGAGTGGGGCGGACAGGGGGTGAACCACCGCATGGGCACTCAGCCAGCCTGCCTGTGGCCAGGTTCTGCGCTAAGCCAGGTTCCTATCTTCTTTCATTGTGTCCTTACAACCCCAGAAGGCAGAAATATTATTTCTGTTTTACACGAGAGGAGATCGAGGTGCTGAGGAGTCATCACTTAATTTAAGCGAGGTCCCAGTTTGTAAAAGGGACCAGGATTGGAACCCAGGTCTGGTTCCAGAGCAGGGCTCCAAACTGCTTTGCTCCCCTTCCCTTCCCTTCCGACCCCGACTCCCGCTGCCCCCAAGATGCTCTGGGAACTTTAGCCTGTGCCTCCACCCTGCTATGACAATTCAAAAGTCCAGAATTTAGCAACAACAGCTTAGGGGATGTGTGGGAGCAGGGCAGGAGGGATGGAAAAATGGGACAGGATCAAGCATCCATATTTAAGTTGCAGGGGTCATTACTGCTGGCAGGTGGAGCTAATGCAAGGTGCTGCCTTTAAGGTCTAACACGCCTCCTACCACAAGCTCAAAGGTCAGAGTAAGATGAGGAGGGGAGCAGGGACTGAAGGCTTTGGGCCCCCTGGGAAGCTGAAGATAGCGCCACCACTCCCCTTTGTCGGGACAGCCTGTCCTAGGCAGAAAGGAGGAGGGGCATATCAGGGCTTTGTGACCTTGGATAAGTTCTCTGTTCCCATAGGCTCAGGAGCCTCAACTCGATCCAGATCTTTTGGGACTGTGGTCATCCTGGGACTCCAGCCGGGAACAATAGGGACACAGATATGTAACTAGACAGGACCCTAGTTGTACCCTTGTCAGAGCTTAGCAGCCATCGTCCAGAGATCTGCTTTGAGTCCTGACAACCCTACTGGGTGTGAGCCCTCAGGCCAATCCCTTCCCCTCCTTGAGCCTCAGTTTCTCTGTAGGTAAATAGGTTGTGGCTGACCTCCTTGTAGGCTTGTTGCTAGCACAGCCCCTACTGGGTGTGAGCCCTCAGGCCAATCCCTTCCCTTCCTTGAGCCTCAGTTTCTCTGTAGGTAAAATGTTGTGGCTGACCTCCCTGTAGGCTTGTTGCTAGGACAGCTGAGAAGGATGCCATGCTGATAGTTTCCTCTCTCTCCCTGCAGACGGAGGCCCAGGAGCCATGGGCGACTGGGGCTTCCTTGAGAAGCTGCTAGACCAGGTCCAAGAGCACTCGACTGTGGTGGGCAAGATCTGGCTGACAGTGCTCTTCATCTTCCGAATCCTCATCCTGGGCCTGGCCGGTGAGTCGGTGTGGGGTGATGAGCAGTCGGACTTCCAGTGTAATACAGCCCAGCCAGGCTGTACCAATGTCTGCTACGACCAGGCCTTCCCCATCTCCCACGTCCGCTACTGGGTGCTGCAGTTCCTCTTCGTCAGCACTCCCACCCTGATCTACCTGGGCCACGTCATTTACCTGTCTCGGCGTGAGGAGCGGCTGCGGCAGAAGGAGGGGGAGCTTCGGGCACTGCCGCACAAGGACCCACAAGTGGACCGGGCGTTGGCAGCCATAGAGCGTCAGATGGCCAAGATCTCAGTGGCAGAAGATGGTCGCATGCGAATCCGTGGGGCACTGATGGGCACCTATGTGGCCAGCGTGATTTGCAAGAGCATGCTAGAGGCAGGCTTCCTGTATGGCCAGTGGCGTCTCTATGGCTGGACCATGAAGCCTGTGTTTGTGTGCCATCGACTACCCTGCCCCCACCTCGTGGACTGCTACGTCTCACGCCCCACGGAGAAGACTATCTTTATCATCTTCATGCAGGTGGTCGGACTCATTTCCCTGCTCCTCAACCTGCTGGAGCTGGTGCACCTGCTGTCCCGCTACCTCATCCGGGGGCTAAGAGCCCGGCAGGGCCAGGATGCGCCCCCAGCCCAGGACACCACCTCAGAACCCTATGCTGACCAGGTCTTCTACCTCCCCATAGGCAAAGAGCCCTCCTCCGAGCCATGCCCCACCTACAGTGGGCTCTCATCCAGTGAGCAAAACTGGGCCAACCTCACTACGGAGGAGAGGCTGGCTTCTTCCAGGCCCCCTCTCTTCCCGGGCCTGTCCCCCCAGAGTAGCCGGAAGTCCCCCAGTAGCTCCACCTGCTCTGCTCCCAAGAAGCAGTATTTGTAGGGGCCTGGGGCTTATGTCACCCAGCAGTGGGGCCTGGCAAGTCCGGCGGCCTTGGGTGCCCTTTCTTTTAAGGATATGCAGAGATGACTGGGGCAGGGGAGTGGGTGGGTGTTTGCTGGCCAGAGGGCCACACCGTAGGTTGTTCTGGAACACCTGGGGTTTTTCTCATGACCAGAGGACGCCATGGTTTCCCCTCCAGAATGTGGCTTTGCCCCAGGTACAGACAGCTTGGGGTGCTCTTAGCCAAAGGTGTTATGGGCTCTCTGGCCTTTTACACTTGGTTCAGAGGGACTCGGAGCCAAGCTATGCCACCCCCACCATCGTGGAAGATTGTCCACCCGGGTCGTCCCCACGCCCTCTCCTCAGAGGAAAAGGCTGGTCGAGGCTGCTGGCTTGGCCTTGATCACACACACAGACAGAGCCTGTGCTGGATCTGGCCCTGTCAAAGGGACTGGTGTCTTGTTCTCATCACTCCTTCCTAGTTCCACTGTTTATGCTTATAAAATAAATAGGACTTGATCACAAGCTAGGTGTGTAGATTGATCACAAGCTGTCGTGATGTGAATCAGGGTGGGAGTTGGTACTGGGTTGCGGGGGTGCATTTGCTTTGCCCAGGCTTTCTTTTCTTTTCCGTACTGCATAATCTAATCTGTCTTTAGCCTCTGCAACCCCAACTCCAGCTGGCACCTTAAACCCTCAAACTCATACATCCTGCCTCTCAGCATCCTGAGTCCTAAATATTCTACTTTTTGAAATGCCTCAGGCACCATCCTCTTCTTCCCATCCCCACTGCCTCAGCCCCCTCAATCTGCCCATTAATCAGTGGCCAAAGCAGTGTTTGTCCCCATCCTTCCCCATGGCCATCCAGTGCCCCTTGCAGTGTGCTTCCTTACTGAACACTATGCTCCTGAAGCCTGCCTGCCAGCCAAGCCCTTCAAAGTCCAGCTCAGATGGTCCCTGCACCTCATCCCACCTCCTCCTCTACTTGGGAGGCAGGTTTAGATCACTTGCCCCGTCCTGCCTTGGCCCTTTCTAGTCTGCCCACCAGAAGGAGCAGCTCAAGGGCCTGTATCATATCTCTTTCCCATGTACCTAAAACTCACTCAGTGAGAACAGACAATGGCAGTATAGAGAGGTGGAAGGGACTGTGGAGGGTTCAAATCTTACCTCTGAGTCACAAAGGTTACAGGAAAAAAAACAATTGAACTGGATCTTGACCAGTTAATATGAGTTATCTAGGGAGGGGAAGGAGACATTGAGTATTCGGGCAGAGAGAACAGTTGTGCAAAGACGTGGAGAAGAGGAGGGGTCAGGGGTGTTGAGGGTGGTGCTTAGGACCCGAGCAGCCTTCTAGGAAAAGGGAGGAAGAGCTGGGGTTGAGCTCAGTGTTGGTAGAGTTGACCTTCCATGTGGACGGTGATCCAGGTAGAGGCCCTCGGAGACAAGATGGTTGTCCTCCCCTACCCAGGAAGATCTGGGGCTTGGAAGGGGGAATGGGGTCCATCTCACATGGCCACATACTTCTCTTTGAGAGCCTTTACAGCAGGTTGACAACTTGTCCCCTCTCCCATCAAGACAGGTTTCCGAAACTCCAGCTCTGTATCCCTCACCCTGGACAGAAGTCACTCCCTCACTACTTACCCATCAAGTCTGGGTGCTCAGCCTTGTAAGTTACCAGCCCTCTTACTCTTCCAGCTTTAGTCCCCTGAATTCCTGAGATCCAATCGATTAGCCTCCTGATGCTTCCCCAAACTCACCCGGTATGTTCCCACCCTTCTCCTTGGCCAATGTGGAGTGCCTCTTCCTCCACGCTTCCAAACCCCATCAGTCCTTTAAACACTACTGTACTGTGGAAAAGGCAGAGCCCGAATGCAGAAGAAAGAGTAAGGTGAGCTTTGACATCAGAGGGTCCTCAATTTAAATGCTGCCTCTAATGTGTACAAAGCCAAGTATTCTTAAGTCAATCATTTTACTGTTCTGAGTCTACTTTCTCATCTCTAAAATGCAGATAACATTGCCTGCCTCTCGAGTGACAAGAAATAAAAATAAGAGAAAGTATATGAGTGTGTCTGGATCCTAGTACTCATGCAATAAAATTGAGCTCAACTTCTCCAGCAAGGCCATCATGGTTTCTTCCTCCAGGAAGCTCTCCCTGACTTCTTCAGCTAATCACCAGTGATGATCTTTACCTCTCAGGAATCTGGACCACTGCTTTGTATGAGTCTATTTCACCTCCACAGTGAGTCTCTAAGAATTGCCAGAGAAATATATTTATCCCCATGGGCCTAGCCCTGCATTCCCTTTGGTTGTAAAATGAGTTAGACTGGCAGAAAGTAGGCTGTTCACACATTGGAAGGGCATGATCCAGGAGGCTGAGGTCCTCTTCTAAGGGATTTGACCCCAGCCAGGGCGAGAGGCCAAATCTGTTGGTTAGAGGTTGGTATCTTAGAGCCAGCCACACTTGATATTCCCTGGGAGCCTACCTTTCTGGTATTCTCTACCTGTTCTGACTTGCAAAGGTAGGAAAAAACAGGTTTAGGTGAGTGAGGGGGGCATCCTTCCCTTCCCTCAAAGCTCACCAACTTTTGGTGTTGGGGCTGGGGTCAGTCCAGGGCCCTGGGACTTGGACTTTTGGCAAGGTTGGAGCTGGGTCCTAGACTACTGGCCACACAAACATAAGGGCAAATGGGCTGGAGGGTTAAGGGTGAGGATAGTGTAGTGGGGATGGGACCGCACAAAGTGGAGTGGGGGGCAGTGCAGTAGGGTGAAGACTTATGCCATGAGGTGTGGCTGTAGCTCTCTCCCACCTGTTCATTTCCTAGCTGTTGTAACAAAGCACCACAGACTGTCGCTTCTGTGACAGGCATTGATTCTTATAGTTCTGGAGGCTGGAAGTCCTACATCAAGGTGTTTGCAGGGTTAGCTCCTCCTGAGGGCTGTGAGGGAGAATCTGTTCTGTGCCTCTCTCCTAGCTTCTGGTGAGCTGCTGGCAATTTTTAGCATGGCTTGGCTTATAAAAGCATTTCCCCCATCTCTGCCTCCATTTTCACATGGCATTCTCCGTGTGGTGTGTGTCCAAATTTCTTCTTTTTATAAAGACACAAGCCATATCAGGTTAGGGCCACCCTAATGACTTTATTTTAACTAGATCACCTCTGTAAAGTCTCTACTTCCAAAAAAGGTCACATTCTGAGGTACTGGGGGTTAGGACTTCAACATACCATTGGGGGGCACAATTCAACCCATACCACCACCCCACCAGCCCCACCTTACCTCCAAGCACTTGTTGGGGGAGGCCAAGGAGAACGTTAAGTATGTATTAGCCTCAAGCATCTCCTCGATAATGTGGCCTGGATGGAACAAAGCTCACTTCTTCCTTTACCTCCTTTGTCCTTCCACCAGCCTGTCCCCCACGCCACCAAAATCTAAATTGGGAACAGGCAACTCTCAGTCACAAAAAGGGCCATAGGAGACTTGGCTCCTGCCTCCCATCCCTCATACTCATTTGACTACACTCCTTTCCCCTCTCTGGGCCTCAGTTTCCCCATTGTGAAATAGAAGGGTTGAATGAGAAATAGGTATGTGGCAATTAGGTATAAGGAGCATTGCATGGAGTAACTTGTCACTAATCATTGATCTGAAGCTCACAGGTGATATGCTATTTTTCGTGAATCAGAACAGATTCAAGATTATTTCTATAATAGGATAAATCCCAGTCACTTGAATTTACATTGCGTTCCTCAGTAGAAAAAAAGGGATGGGGTTATGTGGAGTGCACTGGGAATTCTGCATAACCCAAGGTCATCTTATCTGTGATCCATGGAGGCATGTGAACATTTTGGGCCATGTATAAACAAAGCAGAGAGCTGTAGGGCTGAGTGACGTCAAAACCTCTTCCCAATCTAATGTGCTAGCTCACTGACCACTGGGTTGCTGACCTCATGATTTTCCCACTGACTTTCAGTACCTTGACTGGGGGGTCCTTCATTTCCTTTTCACACAAATCTCAGCATGACCACTGACGTTTGCAAGAAGAGGAAGCCATCACAGGACTGTTGGAACTTCTTTCTCCACCTTACAGCTTCTCCCACTAGCCTTGACTGACCCCAAGCACCACACGAGGCTTAACTATTCTGCTCTTCCCAAACAAGCACTGCAGCCACACGCAGACAGCCACCAGGCCTGTCCAGAACTTGCTCTTTTCCTGTCCCTCCGGCTGACTCTGATTTTCAGAAGCCTCTGGCCAACCTGCCCTTTGTCTACTTTCCTCTTAAGATGTGTTACTCTCCCCGGGTGCTAGACATGATCAGAATCCAGATCATCACCTCTCTTACCTCAAAACTTCTACCTCTATTAATAATGCAATTTAAGATTACATTAACTTTTCTATTTTCTTCTTCTCTTTTGCATATGTAGAAATTTTTATTCAGATTATAAAGGTAATGCATGACCATTATAAACAATGAGATCCCACCATCCAGGGTAACATTTGTTAATATTCAGAAGTAATTCCTTCCAGCCTCTTCCATGCATATTTTTAAATAAAATCAGAGTAAAGGTGTATCTGTAATTTCATATCCTGTTTTTTTCATTTTACATTAAATCATAAGCCTTTCTCCTGTGTCATCGGGTATCTTTGGAAATATCACTCATTGGCTTTATCGTATGACTTTAACATTGTCTACTTAAACATGATCCTAATATTGCGTTTTTAGTTCGTTCACAATTATCCTTTATTATAAACTGTACTGTGGTGTAAATGCCTGTGCTTAAATGTTTTTCAAAATTGCCTATTTCCTTAAAAGAAAGACATTCCAAGAAGTGAAATTGGGTCAAAAGGTATGAAATTTTAAATTTCAAAAGTTAGGGGCTTTTTTCTGATTATGAAAGTAATTCATTATGGATGAATCAGAAGTGTAGAAAAGCACAAGCAAATTACAAGAAGTGAAGGCACCAACTACTTCTGAGAGTGGGAGAGAAGGTGGAGCTGAAAACAGAAATGCTGACTGATAGCAGCCGGC